ACACACACACACACACACACACACACACACACACACACACACACACACACATGCACGTACGTAAACACACAGGTACACATACATACACACTTTAACCCACATGCAAGCACACACACAGATACATATATTGCCAGTCATAGCACTGCAGTCCTGTCTGTTGCCAGTCTTTCTGATCAGTTCCGTTTGTTTTTATCACAAAGTTGTTAAGGCCATCCGTATATGTTGTTCTCTGTCTTCCTACTCTCTTCTTTCTCTCTAACTTTCCACCCAGGAGAAGTTTCTAAAGCCCATTTAATATAATATTTTTTAACGGCCAAAGAATTTCAGTTGTCTCTTTCTGTTAGATCTGATAATAAATCTTTCCCCCAACTTGTCATTTGAAGTACTTCTCTATAATCTGTTTTCCTCTCTGTCCTTGAGATTCTGAGTAATCTTCTTTCATACCACATTCCTGTAGCGTGCAGTTTTGTTTTGTGTCTTTGTTTAGCATCCATTTCTTGTATCAGTACAAGAACCTCAAAAGCAGTAAAAGATGAGTTTGTAAGGATAGAAAAAAATATACGGGGGTTGTAAGCGTCGTAAACGGTCTCATAGCATTCAGATAAAATGAACGTCACGCAGTGTAAAAATACATAAGATCATTTACTATCTGACGGAGATAAAACAGCAGAGTGTTTTGTGTTTGTTTTGTTTTGTTTGTAAATGCTGTGTATGTCCTGGGTACACGTCATTATCAGAAGGCCGCTGTGTCTCTTGCCTGCCTGCCTTTCCCTCCAGTAGGGCAAGGTTACCCCTTCATGTGTCGGTATATTGAATTACAAACAGATATGGGGCATCGTGGTGAAATCAGGCGGTCGTAAAAATGATGAAATCGAAGAGACCGACCTTTTTCTGCCTGTTTGGCAATTTCTTTTGTAAAGTTTTAAAAAACCCAACTAAATACCCTTTAAAAGTATAAGTGATTGTATTGGACAGGTGACAGAGCAGAATCGACTGTATTAACAATAATAATTTAAGATCTTCTGGGGGGGGGGGGGGGGGGGGGATTGTTGTAAGTTTGAATGTTTTGTTCACTTGGATTTGTATTTGATGATGTTTTGTTTTGAAAGATATCAAGAGGAAATCTATAAAGAGCAGGGAGAAGAAAAAAAACACCAAAAAAACGGGACGTCACGCATAGACTATCCTCAAGAAGCTAGCCTAGGTTAAGGAAATAATTATGGAGTCGTGGTCTAGTTGAGTTAGGCTACCGAGCTCGTAATTGTAAGGTTTCCAGTTCGGGGGTTCAAGCCTCAGGCCCGACGCTGTGTCATAGGGAGAAGCACTTTATATTAACATGCGTTTTCCTCACTTCACCAATGTGCGAATGGGTACTAGAGCTGGGCGAAGAATCAATTCCAGAACCGATTCCAACGATTAATGCTACGAAAGAAAAGTTCCGAATCTTTTTTACGTAAACCAACAGTTACCAGTTACTTTAATCATTAAAATCTTTTTTTTTAGAACTTATTTTAGAAAAATAAAAGTTGATGCTTAGTAGTGTTCCGAAATCAAGGTTATCCAAAATCTGAAGGTGTTCGGAGTCAACTAGGTAACCACTAAGAAGAAATCACATTATTAGAAAGTAATTGGGTTCGGAGTCGATTCCTACGAATTCTAGCTTTCAAGAATCGGGAACCTGCCCGCCCAGCACTAAGGGTACCTGACCATAGACAGCAAAATATCATGTCAGTATGTTAGTGTTTTAGCACCGGTAAAATAGCAGCTTGCACTGTAGTATACTTACCAGGAAGTTGAAATTGTTTTAGAATGCTATCGGGTCTGCTGGTCTAAGAATAATCTGTGAGGCATGCTTACAAAATGAGTTACTTCTCACAACCCACAAATGGAGATATTGGCCAAAAATAGACATTAGTGTCAAATTTGTAGATGTTCTATTGACGTTATATTCTTTAAGTATAACATGCCCTTTAATATTTCATATGTATAAATTGTAAAAAAACGTCACCTATATGTGTGAAGTATGTGTTTCCCATAGGGTTCGAATCCGAGAAGTAACTCATTTTGTCTGCACACTTCACATATAGATTGTAAAGCTTACAGAGCTTGTTGTTGAGCGGGAGTTTTTGCTATACAAATGCTATATATTATTATCTATTGTTGTTATCTATTATTATTTTTATTATTATTATCGTCATTATTATTTTTAACTGTTTGTTTATTACCCATAACGTGATCCACGGTGAGAAAGTCATTATTGATGATGATGATGATGATGATGATGATGATGATGACGATGATGATGATGATGATGATGATGGAGGATGAGGATGATGATGATGATGGTGATGATGATGATGACAGCACTTTTCTAAATCAGTAGGGAGACTTGCATTCAAATTAGAAAATGCCCCGTTCAGAATTCAAATATGAACATATTCCCTTCAGATTCGAACCCTGCCCAATCTTGTCGTAGTCCAGTACTATAGCAACTTATTGTGCTCAAATATTGCTCACGTCATGATCGAAAGACATGCTCGTCATTGTTCACAAATCCAGCGGGGACTTGTAAAAAAAATTAAACATCGATCTTAAAGTCGTAAACAGATTAAGGTATGGTATGAGTTGAACTTGAGACGTAACGCGCTTTTACGCCCAATGCGACACTATTGGGGTAATAATTTAGGTGCTGATACCTGCCCTGCCTGAGAGAAATGCAACATTCCAGCAGAAACACCGAGACACAAAGCGAATTTCTTAAATCTCAGACCTTTCATTACATATCGCCTTATAGCTATCAGAAAGTCATCGAAATTTTATAACTGTACCATAATGCAGTTGACCAATTTTGGAATCCCCAAAGGGCCAGTCTATAGCATGGTCTGGTGAAGGAAGAGTTTGTTTTAGTAAGAGTTTTACGGCACACAATGAGTTTATGTACATGCCAGAGACTAGAGGTGTTGCTAGAAAGTAACAAACACAGAAAAGAAGGAGGAGCGATAAGGAACATGTTTTCCTTGTCAGCTGTTAACTGTATTTTGTCTTTATCTATTAGCTACAATTGAGCTGCAGAATGGCGTGCTTGTGAAATTGTTCTGTATTTTATGTATTTATGTATGCATTTATGTATGCATTTATGTATGTATTTATGTATGTATTTATAATTATATAGATATGTATGTGTTTGTATTTCTGTAAGTATTTCTGTATGTATTTATAATTATGTAGTTATGTATGTTTTTCTAGAGGACACGAACGAAAACTCAAAAAATGGTAGATGAGTGGGAACCAAGAACACGCATCCAGAAGACCTCCTTCAAGTGAGAAGCAACAAAACTACTTGAAGAGTTTGACCCACCTGAAAACAGAGAACCAATCACCAACAAGGGCAGCGAACCTCCATATTGGCAGGCACCAGAAATCACAATAAGGACGAGACTTCTATATCCTTCTTATGACAAGACCACACCAGAAGAAATCCTCAGAACTAGTTCTCAAGAGACAGTAGACTCGTATGCTGAAACACGGAACGCTGGATACGGATCTACCATCAAATATCGAAACAACCTTGGAGAGAAGAAGCAGACCCGACTATTTGGCCCCTTTGAGAACATACAGCTCCAACTATGACGCAGAGAGAGCTGCCATAGTAACGACAAGGGAACAGATCACCAAGGATTTTTTTGAAGGCCCAGTAACACCACGGGATGTTGTTGTCTTCTGTGACTCAATGTCAGTGCTCCAAGCCGTCGAGGGAGGAGGAGACTACAGAGGGGACGGGAACATTCCCAGCCTTGTAAAACAAATGTTCACTTCCTATGACGTCCAGGTCACACTGCAGTGGGTCCTTGGCCATTCTGGAGTACCAGGGAATGAGACGGCAGACCAGCTATCAAAGACTAGAGCAAGCCTGCCCCAGACAGACACAGCCGCCTCATTACAGATCCGCAGAGGGATCATCCAAGCCAAAAGCAGAAACGAGTGGCTAAACAGATGGACCAACGCAGAAACAGGAAGATCACTCTTCGGGTACATGGACAAACCCAACCCCAAGGACCCTTCCAATCTCTTTTGTAGAGCAGATAAGAGATTGATCTTCAGAGCCCGCACAGGACACGTACATACCAACAAGCACAGAATTAACCCCATGTGGGAACCCCATAGCAGACACTGCCCAAACCTATCAGTTCTTTGACGCAGGCTCCTAAACACACCTACAGACTTACAAAGCCTGCTCTATCTTGTGGTTGGCCCGATGACAAGGACATGTGGTTACTTGAGGGAGGCATTGCGTTGCCAAGAGCGAAATGCTCGCAAAAAAAGGGATTTGAAAACAGCAACAACAACATGTATGTTTTTATGTATTTATGTTTGTATGTATTTATAATTATGAGACAATTGCAGGTATGCATTTATGTATGTTTGTGTATGTATGTATTTATAATCATGTAGTTTTGTATGTATGTATCCACCTCTTAAATAACTTAACAGTGTTGATAGTGGCGCTAAACCTATACCATTATGTATGATTTTTTGACATTGTACCCAACGTTCCTACAGGAGATCAATAAAAATGTAATTAATTAATTCTTATCCAAATTTTGTTTTTCAATTATTATCAACATCATTCTTGTTTTATTTTTATTTTCAATTATTATGACCATTTTCTTTTATCTTTCCAGTCATGGACAAAGGAGCCAGATCTCGGCGCCAAGTTGGCATATGGCGGGCAGCTGCCGTGTTGCTGGCCATCGTCTGTATCGGTCTTTCAATCGCTGTGATTGCCATGGCAACCAGAGGAAGTGAGGGCGGCGACGGGTTTACGACGTGTGGCAGAGGGCAAAATGCTAAGTCACAGGGCATTATAGACAGGTACAGATGCCGACTCTCTGTCTCTGTCTCTGTCTCTCTCT